CTTCCGATCCACTTCACCCATTATTTTTCTTTCATTTCTCAAAAATATTTTGTAGTTTTTAGCAAACAGATTAGATGTTTTTGTCAGATTTATCCCTGAGTATTTAATATTTTGTGATGTTATTATAAATAGTTTTTATTGTTGTTAATGCAGAAATAAAATTCACTCTGTGTGTGTGTGTGTGTGTGTGTATGTATGCATGTGCATGTATGCTGTATTTTTTTAGATGGGATCTCACCATGTCATGATCCTGTTACCTCAGCCTCCTAAGTAGTTTGATACACATGTTTAAAAATTGATCTTAGGCCTAACCAAGCAACAGTGTCAAGTGCGTGCAACCATGATTAGGCTTATACGTGATTTCTTAAGTAATAATTGCCTATAAACTTGCTAAACTCAAAAATAAATAAATATTGCTCTATACCTTTAAAGCCATACTTTCAATATCCATTATTGATTTAACATTTTGTTTAATTTTTCTAGCTTCTCTCCTGAAATGTTTGAAACATGCCAATATTGTGCTTCTGCATGACATAATCCACACCAAAGAGACACTGACATTTGTTTTTGAATACATGGTGAGTTGCTCAAGCACTTTACAATGCATGAGGAAAAAGCCTGGTGCTCGTATAATGAATCTGTTAATATTTTATGGTTTGATAAAACTTTCATTATAATGTGGAAGGTATCATGAATATTTTCACTGTTGTGATTAGTAGAGCCTTATTGTTCTTATAACCAACCATAGCAGTGCGTCTTCCCCTTCTCTCCATTTTTAAAAAAACTGCCAGAGGGCACATGTGCTCACCAGAGAGAAACTGGGGAGAGGGGGCTGGCAAGAAGGTACCTCCTATGGAAAATGGTCATGCTACAATCCCTTCTCTCTCTCCCACCTTTTGGGATTTGGGGCACCCGTGAACATATACCTGGACTGTTTTTCAAGTTGTAAGACCAAGACTTGAACTGCACAATTGGCCATGTGGGAACCAGCTTCTTAAACACCAGGCCACCAGCTGGCCCAGCACTGATTCTTTTCCCACTATTTTTACTGTCCCTTTCCATCTTACCAATAATAATAAAAAAGGACTTGGGGTTTGCCTCCTAAATAAATTTTTTGTACTCATTTGTTTTATCTATTTTTAATCACTGAGTAGAACCAAACATTTTTTCATTAACTATAAAGACATAAACCACCAGATTTTAAAAAATTGTATACAGGCTTACTCATACTGCGTTTTCAAAAAGAAAAATGCTCAAATAAGCAAAAGAATCTTAAAGGTATGTGTACTTAACATGCCTCTGAGGACACTAAGAATGAGAAATCCCACAGTCATATGTACAGTGTCAGTTGTTTAAAATGAGCATCTCTCTGTGCCAAGAAATGGACTTATTTCTATCTAGAAAGACACACTATATTTGACCTTAATGGTGGGGTCTCAGAAAGCCTGGCTATGTCCCTTTTGTACCCTGTTATAAAAAATTCTGAGCTTTTGGGCCAGCAGATGGCATAGTGGTTACATCACTTGGCTCCCGTGTGGCCAACCGGTTCGAGTCCCGATTCCAGTGACTTGAAAATCATTCCTGGAGTGTGTGCCTATATGCCCAAGATCCCAGGAAGAGAATGGAGGAGACAGGATTGCGGTGTGGCCATTCCCTCAGGGGGTGATTCCTTGCTTTCTGTCTCTTTGTCTCTCCAGCAAGCATACACACCCTATAGCCAAAAAACTCTCTCTAAAAAAAAAAAAAAAAAAAAAATCTGAGCTATATTCAGAAGTCCAGTCAACATTCTGCTTTAGGACACTGTTTTAGCACTGTGGTCACTCTCGCTTCTCTCTCTCTGTCTCTGCTGTTTTGTTTAGCACACAGACCTGGCTCAGTACATGTCTCAGCATCCAGGAGGACTTCATCCTCACAATGTCAGAGTGAGTACTCCATAAATACTGGCTTGCTCACAGCAGGAGAATTTTTAAACAAATTGCCATCACAGAATAAAGTCCCTGGTATTAAATAAGAAGATGGATATCGCCAACATGCCAAAGAAAAATTAAAAAAAAAAAGCATTTCTCAAGAACAATGTTTGGCTATTTTCTGAGCAGCTTAACCTGTCAGTCATTGCCATTGTCAAATGTGTCTTTAGAAGTTTAAACCAATTCAGGAAAATTACATTAAAATGAAATAAATGAAAGGAGGCCATCATAAAATAAATACCTTCTTCATGGCAGACACTGTGGTCTGTCATAAAGTTTTCATTGCCTGTTCTGGCAGATCCTACTACATTATATGGGGCTAACTTCCATTTTTCCACCCATTGGAATAGAAATAATAATAATAAACTCAACTAGCTGTAATTTTACATCTGTTGTAAATTTTAGAACCATTCATGTTTTATACTTTCCATTCCCTAAGGTTTTATTGGCATTAATTAATTGATTGCTCTTAAAATAACCATATGAGAGTTGTATGTGATATATTTGTTCACTTAACTAATATCTACTTATATATTCATTTATTCATTCATTCACTCAAGAAATATTTATCGAGTAGTTAGTACTATATTAAGTAATGAGGTTTCAATAGTGAATAAGTTGTTTCTTATTTTAAATGAGCTTAAAGTCCAGAGAGATGGATGGAATTAAATAGGCAGTGAGAAGACAAGAGCTAAGGACTATGACCACGTGAACTAAGAATACTTTGGAAACATAGTAAGGGGATCCAGCCCAGTCCTGGTTTGGAAGGAGGGGCTGAGGAGAGAGGAGATGGAAAAAATTAAAATAGCTGTGTGTGGGCAAGCAGGTGGTGTGGTGGTTAAGGCATTGTACTCCCACAGGGTTGACCACAGTTTGAACAGTGGACCTGGTGGCTTTCTTTCTTTCTCTCTCTCTCTCTGATGAGCATATGTACCCTATAGCAAAATTTAAAAATAATAATGATAATAAATAAAATTAAGTTAATAATATTTTTAAATTGCTGTGTGGAAATGGGATAGAGAACTAACTAGGGAAACCATGAAGGAACTAGTAGTGGGCTAAGGACCTTGTGAGGGTAAAGACCATTACATTATCTCATAATCATGGGATTTTTTTTAATGGCAGTGTTTTACCAGCTTGAATAGGGGAATAGACGTAGTAGACAGTTGGTTTGGTACAGAGTTGGGATTTTGCCAGATGTGTGAGAAGAAAAGACAGTTGGACAAGAATTTCTAGGTGAGAGAGATTTAAGTGATGGTCAGTAGCTTCCAGACTTATCTGTTAGGGAAGGAACCTGAGGGAAGGAAATGAAGATAAGTAGGTTGTTTGTGGGTGGCTAAAGAGAGAATGCGAAGATCAAGGAACTAGAGATGTGTACTGCTTAGAACTGTTAAAGAAAGAATAACGGAGGAAGATAGAAGATTTTCAGAAAGCTTTTTATGAAAGCTTAACAGCACTGGCCTAGTCTAAAGTCTTATTTCACAAAAGAGAATCCAGGATTTGAGAGGACAAACATTTTGCCTGAGGTTGTAGGCCCAGCTTTTGCCATTGCTAATGGTGACGCTTGGTTAAGATTATTTTCCTCTGTGTCATTCTGCATTTCTGGTTCCCTTGGCCTGAAATAGGAATATCTGAATATTAATGAAACTAGGCATGCAAGTCTGAAGAACTAGACTGGCAAAGTGGCTGAGAGCCCTACTTTCTAAGAAGTGAGGGCATTATTCCTTAGACAGTAGAGTCATTAAAGAAAATGACATGATCAGAAGGAAATTTATAATACTGTGGTCTATGAAATGGATTAAAGGGAAGAAAAGACTAGAGTCAGGGATTCCAGTTAGGGGTTTATTGATGTGGTCAAGTCCAGTGTTTCTCAAACATCAGTGAGCAAATGACCTGGGGGTCTGATTCAGTAAGTTGAGGATTTATCCCAACCTTCTGTATTTTTGTCCTGATCTAAAGTGATGCATATGCTGCTGGTCAAGGACCAAACCTTCAGTAGCAAAGATCTAGGTAAGGAGGAATAAAGGTCTAAATTATGCTATTGATGGAAAGAATAAAAAGGAATATGCAAAACAGTACTGAAAAAGGGATTTGCAGAAGAGTAATCTCTTGGTAATTAAGTGGGTATGAAGATGGAAAGGATGGGGCTAAAGATAACTGAGTTTGACTGACTAGGAGAGGTGTAGCTCTATAGACAGAAACAGAGGTTAGGTTGGAGAGAGGGAGGAGTCCTGTTTTAGACATGTTGAGCCTCCAGTTGAGGGAAATGAGCAGCAGGCAATTGAAGAGGAGACTGCTGCTCAGGAGGAAGATGAGAGCTGCAAATGTAGATTTGAGAGTGATTGGCACACAAAATTGATAAAACAGGAGAGATGACCAAAAGAGCAACTACACAGAGGGAGGACTGATGATAGGACTTCTGCCTTTAGGGGGGAAGGGAGGTAGGGGAAGGGTAGCAGGTGATGTGGTGGTTAAAACACTGAACTCCCACAAGACTGATTATGGTTCGAATCCTGGACCCAGCAGCTTGAAAATCACACCTGTTGTGTATGTGAGCATGCTCAAAATCCCAGGAGGAGAATAGAGGAGAAGATATTGCAGAGTGGCCATCTCCCCTGGGGAGTGATTTCTCACTTTTACTCTCTTTCTCACCCTTCCTCTCACTCTCTCTCTAGCAAGCACATGAGCTAGATAACAAAAACCTTAATAATTATTATAATAAAAATAGCCATCAGATGATATAGTAGTTAAGGTGCTGGACTCCCCCATGGCCAATCATGGTTCAAGTCGCAGACCTATTGAAAGTCATGCTGGGCATGTGTGTGTGCATGCCCAAAATCCTGAGAGAAGAATAGAGGAGAAGGGATTGTGGTGTGGCCATTTCCCCCATGATTTTTCACTGTCTCTCTATCTCTCTGTCTCTCCAGCAAGCACACACAACTTATAGCAAAAATCCCTCTCTAAAAATAAAAAAGAAAGAAAGAAAGAAAGAAAGGGAGCAGGACAATAAGGGACAAAGGGACAAAGCTTTTAGGAATATAAAGCATCCAGAAAAATACGCTGTCGCGGAAATCAAGGGAAGAAACAATTTCAAAAAAGGCATGTTTGAGAGTATCACAAGCACCAAGAATACAGATATAAAACCATGCTCAGGCTAATCTGTGGCCTGGTGATTAAGGTGGCTGATCTTTCACGCCAAACTCACAGTTCAAGTCTCAGATCTGGCAGCTTGAGAAATATGTTAGGCATATGCCCAACATCCTAAAAGGGAGAAATGGAGGAGAAGGGATTTTTATATATATTCTTGACTATGAAGACTTTGTGGATTTATGAGATACACTAATAAATAGAGGAATTCAATAAGGAGTATATGGAAGAATAAAGAAGTTATC